GTCTATGGCGGGGACAGAGAAGGGCTAGGAAACTAGACAGGAAAGTAGGCAGCCCTATCCTCGCTGCCTTCCCACTGACCACCTGGATGGGAACCAAGCCAGGGCAAACAGGCAGAGGGAAAGGGCTGGACGGTAGCAGGGGCAGCTCGGCCTGGCATATCCAAACAGCACATCATGGACGTTTTCAGACTTGCTGGGTCATCATGCATCCACCCCCACCCCAGGGCTCCATCCGTGGCCTCTTCTCTGGTGGTGACTTCACCTAGTTCCATGCATTCCCAGGGTTCTCTGTGCAGATGACTCCCAATTCCATATATCTGGCCCTCATCTCTCCCCTGGGATCCCGTCCCACGTCTCCAGCTTCCTAGGGACATCTCCACCTGGATATCCCATTGGTACCTCAAAACTCAACGTATACAGAAGAACTCATTCCCTTTCCTCTAAAATCCATTTTACAGATATCTTATTTGATCCTCATGACAGCTCTGGGAGGCAAGTGTTATGTTGCCCGTTTTTCAGATGAAGAAACTGAGGTAGACAGGTTAACTGCATTGCCCAGGGTTATATAGCTAGTGAGTGTCTGAGTATCTAGAAAAATTGGAACACATTTTTCAGGCTTGATTTCCTATCCCCTGTATCACCTGGTAATTAGCTGCCAGGTCCTGTCAATTCTGCCTCCAGAACCCCCCCCCCCCAACCCCTTCTCTCCACTCACACAGCCTCTACCCAAGTTCAGACCTTCCATCCTCCCATCCCCTCTCCCCTGGACAACTGCTGTAGCCCGCTGGTTGGTCTCCCCGCTTCCTGTCTCCCCCTTTCTCCAATCCACCCTCCACTCAGCCGCTGAATTAGTCATCCTAGAACACAGCCCTGACCACGCTGCTCCCTACTGCCTCTAGGATTAGATCCAAAGGAATCAGCCTGGCCCTTCCACAATCTGGCTTCCACTTTCCTTGCCAGGTGGATTTCACCTTAGGCCTCATCACCGACTCTGCTCTGGACAAATTAGACTATCAGCGGCTCCCCAACCTTGACGCTTCTCCTCCTTCCCCATGCATTGACGCAAGCCCTGTGACTACAACGCCTCCTCTTCACTTCTTAAAATACTCCAACCACCACTCCGGGGCCACCTGTTCCAAAAGCCTTCCCTCGTCCTCCAGGTGTTAGGGAAGCGCTCATATCACCATGCTCTTGTATTCCTCCGGGTAGAAGGTCATAATAATAACAATAATTAATAATTCCTCTCCATACCACAAATGCCTGGGAGAATTCAACAACGAACAGGATAGGAGCCAAGTTGTTGTCTATAATCGCCTGGCCGTGACTTTTGTTATCGTTGTTCAGTCACGTCTGACTCTTCGTGTCCCCATCTGGGGTTTTCGTGGCAGAGATACTGGAGTGGTTTGCCATTTCCTTCTCCAGCTCATTTTACAGATGAGGAAACTGAGGCAGATATGGTTAAGTGACTTGTCCAGGATCATACAGCTAATAAGCATCTGAGGTCACATTTCAACTCAGGTCTTCTTAACAGTCAAGCCCAGTGCTCTATGCACTATGGCGCCACCTACCAGCCCCGAAGGGTGAAGGTACAAGAATTGAATCAAAAGGCCCTTCTTGGGCTGTATGCACACGTACAGCAAATGGATGAATCTTGTGGTTTTCTTTACAGAAATAGGCAGATATAGGACAGTACTTAGGATCAGGTTTCCACCACCAGAAATTACAAAGAGTTGATCTTTTAAGAGCCCAGGTGCGTTGTTGCAAAGAAACAGTAGAAATTATACCACGTATGCCCACAGGGCACAAAAATTTAATACCTAGAGAGAAATTATCAGGTGGCCAGAATTAGATACCAGATGCTCACTAACCTTCATAGATTAACAGATGACAAATCCCTCAGCTACAAATAGAGACACCAAACTATTTTTGAGAATGCAACAAATAAATTGTACCGGAACTAGAGTATTTTCACAGAAAAAACTGCTGCCCACTAGCACCCAAACAAAATATTGATGCATTAATCATAATAATGATAATAATAGCATTTTATATTTTTATGTTTATTTTCTATTTTTATACTAACATTTAATATTCATATATTTATTTTATATTTCATAACATCATTTATATTTATTTTATTTTTATAATGCCACTTTTATAGTTGTATATTTATTTCATATTTTTATAATAAAATTTTAAATTTATATTTTATTTATATTTATTTTATACATTTATAACATTTTTACATTTATATTTTATATTTTTATAATAGTATTTTTATACTTACATATTTGTTTTACATTTTATAGTAGCATTTTGTATTTTACTTTATATTTTTATAATAACATTTTATATTTTATTTATATTTGATCTATGTTTGTTTTATATTTTTGTGATAGCATTTTATATTTATATTTAATTTATATATTATATTTATTTTCTATCTTTACAATAGCATATATTTTTATAATAGCATTTTATATTTTTATTTTATATTTTCATAATAGCACCTTATATTTTATTTATATTTTTATATTTTATTTTAACTTTTGCAAAGCTCTTTACCTATTTTACTTCATTTAATCCTTATGACAGCCCTTCCTGGGAGGAAGATGCCATTATCATCTCCATTTTACAGATGAGGAAACCGATGCAGAGATTGAGTAACTTGTCCAGGGTCACGCAGCCGCTGAATATCTGAGGCTGGATTTGAATTCAGGTCTTTCTGACTCTAGGTCTGGTGTTCTATACCCTGTACCACCATGCATACTGGTCTATTCAACATAATGATCTATCTCTTTAACTGTAACATAACACTGTCTCCCCACTTCATGCTTTCTCACTGTTCCTGATGCTTAGAATGTCAACCCTCTCTACCTCTGCCTCCTGGCTTACTTCAAGGCTCTGATCAGCTAAATCCCACCTTCTGCAAGAAGCTTTCCCAGATCACCTTTAATGCTAGTGCTTTCACTCTGAGAATATCTCCAAATTATCCCTTCTATACATCTTGCCTGTATGTAGTTGTTTGCATATTGTCTCACCTGTTAGATTCTACATTCCTTTGAAGCAGGGACTGTTTTTTACCATATGTTGTATACCTAGTGCTTAGAACAGTGCCTAGAACAAAGTAAATGCTTAATAAATACTTGTTAACTTGATATATCATCCTGTCTGGCCAGTCTTCCTTTGTCTCCTTTGCTGGGTCTTTCTTGGTCTATATGTCACCCGTCCGCTCACTACAGATATCTCTCACCGCTCTGTCCTGCCTCGTCTTCTCTTCTCTCTGTAACATTTCTCTTGGGGATCTCATCACCTCCCACATATTTAAATTATCATTTCTATGCTGATGATTCTCAGATCTACCTTTCCTGCCCCAATCTCTCTGCTGACCTCCCACCTCTCATCTCCAACTGTCTTTCAGACATTTAGAACTGAAAGTCCAGCAGGTAATATGTCCAGTTAAACTCAATATGTCCAAAACAGAACTCATTATCTTCCTCCCTAAACCCTCTTCCCCCACCTTCCCTTTTCCTGTAGAGGGCAACACCATCCTCAGGTTGGCAGCAAAGGAATCATTCTCTTCCATCCCCCATATCAAATATGGTGCCAAGGTGTGTCAATTTCACCTTTGCAGTATCTCTTGTAGATTTCACCTCTGCAACATCTCTCCAGGCCCCCTCCTTTCTTTCCTCTGACTCTCTCACTTCTCTGGTATAGATCCTCATCACCTCATGCCTGGACCATTGCAATAGTGGCTGGTGGGTCTGCCTGCCTCAAGTTTCCCTCGACTCCAGTCCATCCTCCATTTAGACATTAAAGTGATTTTTCTAAAGTGGAGGTCCAACCATATAACCCCTAAAAGTTTATTTACCATATAAATGTATTTATCCAGTAAACTCCAGTGTCTCCTATCATCTCCAGGATCAAATACAAAAATGCTCTGGCTGGTATCTGAAGCCCTTCATAATCTGGCCCCACACCATGTGGGGGTGCTGGGTAGTGCCACACTGGGCCTGGCGTCAGGATGATCTAAATTCTAAATACAGCCTCAGACACTCATTAGCTGTGTGACTCTAGGCAAGTCACTTAGCCTCTGTTTGCCTCAGTTTCTTACACTGTAAAATGGGGATAATAATAGCACCTACCTCCCAGGGGTTGTGGGATTTTTTTTAACAAGTGAATGTTTGCAAAATACCTGACATAGTAGGTGCTTAATGTTCATTGATGGACTGTCTGCTACTGGACTTATCCCAGAGATGTTTGAGTCTTAAAGAGGAGCTTCTACTGCAACCCTTTTAATCTAATTATCAAGCATAGTCACTTTATCCACATACCCTACAGCCTATTAATATAAAACGAGAAAGAATTACAACGAAATAGGGGATATTCGTTCCAGAAGTGTTTCTATTGGAACTCCTTCAAAAATAAAAGATGAGAATATGATATGATATATGAATATGATGATGTTGATGACATCATAATCTGGCTGTTACCAAGGCTTTATTTGTACAACTTTTAACATTTTAACTTTATTCTCATAATAAGGTAATACAGCTATTATGATCTTCATTTTACAGATGAGGAAAACTGAGGGCTTCCCTTGACATTTGTACACTAAGCATATGGCTAGCACCGTTAAGGCCACATGACGTGACGTAAGATGATGTGTCTGTTTTTTTCCAGACCTTAAAGCTTTCTCATTGGTCCTTGGGCTTGAAGCACCAACACGTGAAGAGAGGGATGGGGGCGGGTAAACCGAGAGGTGCAAGCATGGCGATTGGCCAAGATTTGAAGAAAGCCAGCCTCCATATTCTTTCCATTGACTGACTGAAGAGTAAGGAGAGGCGAGAGGGCAGTGTTTGGGTTCCCGAGGATTGGACAGTTCTAAGAGGAACCCCGCCTCCTCCATGGTCCATTGGTCAGGCTCTCTGGAACACCGCCTTTCCCTGGGAGGCGAGTAGAGAAGGCTGTGTGAGGGCGGGCCCCGGTAGTATCTAGACATATGATTGGGTAAGAATGTGGCCGCGAACCGTCCATTGGAAAGAACAGGTGTCTGTTTCAGAGTCCGGAAGTCGCGATGGCCGTGGTCGAGACCATTGAGAGAACAACGCGAGGGGTGAAAATAGAATCGAGGTTGAAGGCCTAACAGAGCCGGGCCGCTGGCCGGCTGAGGGTGAGACCCAAGAGGGATGGAGGTCGGGAAGTGGCTTACTAACAGGGAATAAATTAGTTCTGGGGATCAGCAAATGAACTCGTCCTAGGAGAGGAGGGAAGGAGTGGGTTGGTCCAAGATTTGTGAGTGAACTTAGTTGTAAGAGGGGTGTACGTCGACCAATGGTTTAGTCCAGGATGGGGGTGGTGGCGAGGAACAGTTTGGTTCAGGAAGGGCGGGGAAAGCGGGGAGTGGTTTGGTCCGGGATGGGGGTGGCGGCGAAGAATGGTTCGATCCAGAATGGGCGGGGAAAGGTTTGGTCCCCGATGGGCGGGGGAAAGCAGGGAATGGTTTGGTCCAGGATGGGGGCGGGGCGCCACTGGTTTGGTCCTGGGTGGGGGGAGGGGAGGAATAGGTTGATCCAGGAAAGTGGGAGGAGGGAGGGGGAATGGCCCTGGGATGAATTGGTCCAGGATGGGGAAGAATGTTTAGTCCAGGATAGTGGGGGCAGGGAGGAGGTTGGGGGAAGGGGAGATGGTGGAGGGGGGCGTTGGTCCAGGGGTGTTGGAGTAGAGGATTAGTTCTAGGTGGGGAAGAATGGATTGGTCCAGAATAGTTGGGGGAGGAGTGAAGGGATGTGGGGGGGAGGGGATGGTTTGGGGGGACTGAGAATGGGTTGGGGAGTTGATCTGGGATGGGAAAGGGAATTGGGGGCTAGGGAGAATGGGTTGGTCTGGGTTAGTAATGTGGGAGACAGGTCTTGGAATGGTGGAAGGATTATGGGGGGTGAAGAATGGTCCAGGATGGTTGGGGGGAGGGGTGGAGAATGGGGTAGCAGGGGGCAGGGAATGGGGGGCAGTGTTTGAAGGTCATGGGTGGTGGTGGGGGAAGCTGAGAAGGGAATGGGGGGGAGCAATGGCGATGTCTGTTTTCCTGCCTTCCCCAGCAGCAATGGAGGAGTTGGATGCGGTGATACCTTCGCTGGAGCCCTTCAGGGTAGAGCAGGTGAGGGGGAGCCTGAGAAGGGGCAGGCGGCCCGGTTCCAGGTCAGCCTCACATCTCCATCTCTCTCTCCCTCTCTCTCTCTCTCTCTCTCCCTCTCTCTGTCTCTCTCACCTCTCTCCCTCCTCTCTCTCCTCTCTCTCCCTCTCTTTCTCTCTCTCTCCCCCTCCTCTCCCTCTTTCTTTCCTCTCTCTCTCTCTCTTCCTCTCTCAGTCTCTCACCTCTCTCCCTCCTCTCTCTCTTCTCTCTCCCTCTCTCTCCCTCCCTCCCACACACAGGTTCCACCCATCATCTACTATGTCCCAGATTTCATCTCTGAGCAAGAAGAGACCCAGCTGCTCCGACAGGTGACGACTGATTCCCACCTCCAAACTCTTATGCTTCAGCTCCTGGTCTCTTTGCTGTTCTTTTATTGTGGAAATCCACCTCCCACCTGTGTGCCTTTGTACAGGCTGCCCACTCCATGCTCCCTCCCTCCCTCCCACAAGCATTTATTCCTTGAAGGCTCAGTTCACCCGCCATCTCCTGTGGGAAGCTTTTCCTGGTCCCCCTGGTTGTTAGCATTCTCTTCTCTCCTCACATTAGTGTGTATACATATTTGTACCCTCCTTGAGGGCAGGGACAGTTCATAGGTTTCCTTTGTATCTCTGGCACCTTGCACAATGCCTGGCATATAGGTAGTGGATTGGATTGGTTCTGGCCAGGGTCATGCTGTGGTCATAGGACGACTCCAGGGTCAGTCCAGTGTCCCAGGGTCACACTCTGATCACCCCTGTTAGGTGTATGAGGCTCCAAAGCCCAAATGGACACAGCTTTCTGGGCGGAAATTACAGAACTGGGGTGAGTGCTTCCCTGACCCTCCACCATGAACACACACCCACAGGTGGGATCTGGAGGGAGAGGGTGGGTATCCGTGGCTCTAGATCTCAACCCTCCCAAGATACTTGGGCCTCGCCTAGAGGCCTTCTGTGGTCCCAGGGATATCTAGAGAGGCTCCCTTGCTCCCTGGGAGTGACAAGTCACATCCTTCTTCTGCCTTGCATTGATCCTCCCCAGGTGGGCTCCCCCACCCAAAGGGGATGGTCCCTGAGCAGCTGCCTCGGTGGCTCCAGCACTGGGTGGACGCTGTCTCTAGTCTCGGCCTCTTCGGGGGTGCCCAAGCTAATCATGTGCTGGTGAATGAGTACCAGCCAGGAGAGGGCATCATGGTAAGTCAGAGCCCCTGAACATATGAGTGTGTAACCTTCTCACACCCAGCCA